TTTGTATCTATAGACAAGAATTCATAACATTGAAAATTACCTAAGACTGATAGTTTGCTAAATCAGTTTACTAGTAGATACAATAATCTACCTTAATATGCTATTCCTATCCATTCCCCTTTTTCTTTTCTAATCTTTTTTTTTTTTTAAATTTTTATTTTACGTGTATGGGCGTTTTGCCTGCATGTATGTCTATGTGCCACATGTGTGCCTGGTGATCACAGGGGACAGAAGAGGACACCAGATCCCTGGGCCTGAAGTTACAGGCAGGTATGAGTCATCATGTGGGTGCTGGGAATCGAACTCAGGCCCCTCTGCAAGAGCAGCCAGTACTTTTAACCACTGAGCCAGCTCCCCAGCCCACCCCTTTTTCTTTTCTAAAGGAGAATACGGAGTCTAAATTTTATTGTTCCACCCCCAACCCTAAAACCATCCATCCATAACCCTGAGAAAAATGAAAACTTTAGGAGAGGGGGCATAGTTTTCTTAGAATTGCTTCCTGCTGTTTAAGGAGCAACAGTATCCCTGTGGGGTCCTGTAAGAAAACTTAGATAGTTAGGGCTCACTAGGGCTAGCTGTAGAGTCTGCAGCCAACCTCAGAGTAGTGGATAGGATTGTCTGAGATTCTGGTTAGAGGTGTAGTATGATGGACCATCTCATCTTAGTACTGTCCTGAAGAGTTTTCAGTCCAAAGCTGATCCTTGAGTAATGCTCTTAGGTACAATGGCATCTTTCTGGACCAAATAGAGTCATTGTTGTGGGGGCTCCATCTTCCTTATAGAGACTTTAGTGTAGTGGGTAGCCATTCCAGCTTGGATCTATAAGTTCCAACCCCCATTGAGACTCTGGCAACTGTCACGCCTACGAGGCGGGGCCAGGGGAGGCGCCTGGAGACCCGAGAGCTGGATGGGCCAGTGCTCTCTCTGGAGCTCTGCTCAGTCCACCTCCAACGTTCAGCGTCCAGGCACAGAGAGAGCGCTGGCCCATCTAGCTCTCCGGTCTCCAGGCGCCTCCCCTGGCCCCGCCTCGTAGTCGTGACAGTTGCCAGAGTCTCAATGGGGGTTGGAACTTCCAGATCCAAGCTGGAATGGCTACCCAACACTTTAGAGATTGCTATTGGGAAGATTTATTTTTCACTGTGGAAAACTTGAACACTATTAATATAAAAATGGAAAGTTTGGATTTGTGCTGGATTGAAAAGGGATTCCCAGAAAGCAAGGACAAGCATGAAAAAATATAGAATCTTGACAACAATGGTCCCTAGATTATTGGCTTTCTTCTGACTCACACCAGTTGGCTTTTCCAATATGAGACCAATTCTCCTATTTTTCCTTTGAACAATATGCTTGGGTTCAGAGAAGGAGAGAGCCACATTCCAACTCCAAAGCCAGCTTGATTTATAATTGAATCAGGACCACAACTATTCTAGAGTTAAAGCGATATTGATGTTAAGCAGTGAGATACTACCCTGTAGAGTATATTGGTACCAACAGGTCCTTCCTTTATGTGGTAGATGTTTAGGTGTCCAAGGCCTTATGATTTCTTTAAGATGGGTATATTTATTATCCTGTAATAAGACAAAAACAGAACCCTGCCCCAACCCTTGTTTGTTGAGTTTGTCTTACAACTTGTAGAGTTATCATTTTGGTGGATGAGCTGTTACTTCTCCTCATCAAGGGGTTTCTCCTGTTCAAATCGAATTTTTATTAATTTTATTGGTATCCATAGCTTTTCCTCTCTTGTAGAAACAAAAGCAAAGCCACATCCCCAACATAGGACATATCCTGGTTTCCATTCCGAGGTTAACACATCTTTGAAGTAAACCGGTTGGTTTAGCTCAAGAGTTTTTTCTGTTGTCCAATGTCTCTCCGCAGCTGTTGTTCCTTTCTCATCAGCATTGAGAAAACTCAAGGTTAATATAGCATTATGTAATCTATTTCTAGGAGTCATTGTTATTTGTTTCTGTTTATTTAGTATATTCTTTAAAGTTCAGTTGGATCTTTCTATGACTGTTTGGCCTGTGGGATTGTGTGGTATACCTGTAGCATGCTTTATATTGTAATAAGCAAAAAACTGTCTCATTTTATTTGAGACATATGCTGGAGCATTGTTTGTCTAAATTTGTACAGGTATTCCCATGATGGCCATAACTTCTGATAGGTGTGTAATCACAGAGTCGGCCTTTTCAGAACTCATAGGAGTTGCCCATTGAAATATTGACTAGGTGTCAATGGTATGATGTACATACTTTAATCTTCCAAATTCTGCAAAATGAAACACATCCATCTGCCAAATTTCATTTCTTTGTATACCTTTTGGATT